CTCAAACCCCGGTCAACCCAACCCGACTAACTGGCCGGTTCGCGGTCGAACCTGGTCCGACCTCCGGTCCGATCCGGTTTTTAAAACATTGTTCGGAACCTTAACGAGAGATTCAAATCGATTCTAGATAGTATATTTGACAATTGTGGAAAATTTGTCGTTAGAGAAAAAAGGGACAGTAATGGAAAATTCCAAAGTACAAGACAGCCATAGAATTCAAATTTGTTATGAACTCTACTTTCTTCGATGACCATTCAATTTCAGTTGGGTCAATGTCTCACGTCCCAAACAAAAAGATCTATTTGAAGATCTTTTTTCTTTTCCTTTTGGGGTTACTATCTTAAGAGTTAAGACTATATATTCTCAGGTAGAATTGTAGGTAATAAAGTAAATTGACCAGTTAAAAGTGACTCTAGTGCCTACAAAAAAGGGCAATTACAAAAATACAATTTTGTGTGTGCACATTTGCAAAAATGCCACTTAGAGATTCCATTTACAAAAATGTTACTAATTATAGATTTATAAAGTCTATATCTTAAAATTCTAAATCCAAAAAAATGTTTTGACACCTAAAACCCCCTAAACACCTAAAACTTAATTAGTAACATAATTAACCCAAAAATAAATAATATAAAGAAAACATAATTTTAAAAAATATGGCATTTTTATAAAGATTTCAAAAGTGTGACATTTTTGTTAAGTGGCACTTGAAAAATAGCATTTTTTGAAATTTCTCAACAAAAAATCTGGAGATTAAAATAATCAATATGGGAGACTAATTTCTAAAATTTCTGTTTTCAAAAAAAAAATTTCTAAAATTTTACTATTTATGAATCTATTAATACATCATAAATTAATAAATTTATTATATTATTATGTTTAAGTTTCTTAAAACTTTTACCATTAGATAATATAATTAGTTGACAAATACTAAATGTATGTGATTGTATTGGTTGATATAATTTCCATAAAAGGGTTGCACTTTGAACGCAATAGTTCAAACCTCAAATGTTATTTAAGAAATGTCTGAAGTTTTTGATTGAAAATAAGTTAGATTTATCTCGAGCTAAAAAGATTATAGAATTCAAAGCAAATTTTTTTTTTTAAAGAATTCCGGAATTTATTTTTAAATAAAATCAAAACAGAAAAAAAAAGCACACAAAGCATCTAATCTGGGAAAATGGTCATTTTGTTGAAACTAAGGATGGCCAAACTGGAT